CCCTCCCTCCCTCCCTCCCTCCCTCCTCCCTCCCTCCCTCCCTCCCTCCCTCCCTCCATCCCTCCCTCCCTCCCTCCCTCCCTCCCTCCCTCCCCCTCCCTCCCTCCCTCCCTCCCTCCCTCCCTCCCTCCCTCCCTCCCTCCCTCGCTCCCTCCCTCCCTCCCTCCCTCCCTCGCTCCCTCCCTCCCTCCCTCCCTCGCTCCCTCGCTCTCTCCCTCCTTGCCAGGTTCTCAGGCATAACGCCTCAGATGCTGGCTGGGGTGACAACCACACTGCAGCAGGCACAGGTGAGATGGTTGGGTGAGAAGGGGGGGGGTGAGAGGGGAAGGTGAGAGCGGGGAGTGAGAGGGGGGGGGTTGAGAGGGGCGAGCGAGAGGGGCAGTCCACCCTTGTACATCAACTCTCTTTCCGATCCTTCATTTCTGCTTCCTCTCTACCCTGTCCTCACTGCTCGCTGTTCCACGTGATAAAGGTAGAGTTTTGAGACGTCTCAAAGCTCTACTTTTATCACGTACCTTCCTCTCTACCCTGTCCTCACCTCCGACGAGTGGGGTGGGCGAGAGGGAGTTTCCTCACCTCCGGCTCACTGCTCACTGTGCCTCCTCTCTTCCGACTTTTGAGAATTCTCTTCCCCTCATCCACCCCGTTCTGGTCTCCACCCTCATCCACCCCCTTCTGCTCTCCCCCTTACCACTCCCCCCTCGTGTTTTGAGACGTCTCAAAACACTCCGGCTCACTGCTCACTGTTCCTTCTCTTTTCCCCTCATCCACCCCCTTCTGGTCTCCACCCTCATCCACCCCCTTCTGCTCTCCCCCTTACCACTCCCCCCTCGTGTTTTGAGACGTCTCAAAACACTCCGGCTCACTGCTCACTGTTCCTCCTCTTTTCCCCTCATCCACCCCCTTCTGGTCTCCCCGTTACCACTCCCCCCTCGCCACTTCCCCCTCTCCCCACTCCCCCCTTTCCCGTTTCCCCCTTCCCAACCCCCTTCCCCACTCTCCTTTCCTCCCCCCACTCCCCAACAGGAGCACTTTCTCGACATAGTCAGCGCAGAGACCATCCTGGTCGGCCATTCCACAGAGAGCGATCTGCACGCGATCCGGGCCGTCCATCTGCGCGTGATCGACACATCACTGCTCTTCCCCCACCCCCGCGGCCCGCCCTTCAAGTGTGCCCTGCGCTTCCTAGCAGCGGATTACCTTGGGCGGACCATTCAGGCTGGGTGGTGGGCAGGGAGGGGCGGGGTGGAGGGGCGAGGAGGGAGGGGACGGAGAGGGGGGATGAGAGGGGGGTTGAGAGGGGGAGGATGGTCGTTTCACAGGGGGGGTGTTGGTGCTGGTAGTGGTGGTGCTGACGGTGCCGCTTCTTCTTCTTCTTCTGCAGCTGCTGCTGCTGCTGCTGCTGCTGGTGTGGCGACGGCGGCAGTGGCTGCAGCGGGTGCTGCAAGTGGTTACCGCAGGAGTAACACGTGGTGCCGTAATGCTCAAAAGCCAGTTGCAGCAGCACCGCCGGCTACAGCAGCAGGAGGAGTGGGTGGTGACGGAGAGGTGGCAGCAAACGGCGTGCGGCATGAGACTGCGAACGGCGGGACCACAGCAGGTGGAGCAGCAGAAGAAGCCACAGCAGCAGCAGGAGTAGCAGCAGCAGCAAGTGAGGGAGCAGCAGCGAGAGAGGGCGCAGAAGCAACAGAAGGAGCAGTAGCGAGAGAGGGCGCAGCAGAGGAGCAGCAGGGCACAGTGGCATCGGACAGTGCCGGGCATGACAGCGTGGAGGACGCACGGGCTGCTCTTGACCTCGCCCTGCTCAAAATACAACATGGTAACATGGTAACGCAGTAATGTGGTGTACAAACGTAACATGGAATTCGAGAAACATGGTAACATGGTAATGCAGTAATGTGGTGTACTAAAGTAACATGGTTTAGGGTTTCGAGAAACGTGGTAACATGGTAACGCAGTAATGTGGTGTACTAACGTGGTAACATGGTAACATGGTAAGGCAGTAATGTGGTACTAGGGTAACATTGTAGCACTGTAGTGTTGCACTAGGCTACCGTGGTAACACCGTAACATCTTTGACTGTAACACAGTATGGTCTCGTCATAACACTGTAATATGGTAATATGGTAATATGGTAATATGGTGGTACACACATGTTCGTAGGGATTGGGAGGTTCACATGTAAGGAGAGAGACTGAGGCAAAGATTTTGCCCTCACCCTTCAGCTTTCAGCTATTTCACTGCCACAATCTACTTCCTACGTCCCACCTTCCCAAACACCTCCCACCCAATCGCCTCCCTCCCTCCCTCCTTCCCAATGTCTACCCACCTGTCCCTTGGCTTTCTCTTTCATCCCCCACCATTCACCTCACCTTTTGCCCCTCCCTCAGGTCCCCACTTCGGTCTACCTCGAAGAGCCTCAAAGCTGCACCACACGGAGAACATTCTCACGCGCCTCTCTGCCTCCGGGCGGCACTGCACCGTCGTGCTGCACGCGCAAGCTGCCAGGCCTGACCTCTTTTTGGGCGGCAACTCCAACTCCACGTCAGAGATTCTGTGCCTCAAGCACGGGGACTTGGGCAAGGTTGCGAGCAGAGAGGTACGGAATGGGAGGAGAGCAGCGAGGAATGCACTGACACCTCGTATTTGACACCCTAAACTGTGACCCCCCCTCCCTGCACTGACTCTTCGCTACCCCTCCCTCCCTCCTAGCAATGTTACCATCATCCCTCCTCTCCTCCCACCCTCCCTCCCTCTTGCTTCTCTTCTCTTCCCCTCTCTCCCTTATTCTCTTCCTCAATTGCATCTCTTCCCATCTTCCCTCTCTCTCCCCTTCTCTCCCCCTCTCTTCCGCCTGTGCACAGGCATGCAAGCCATCGCTCAATGTTCTAGTTGCCACCTTCCCCTCTCTCATTGCTTCTCTCTCCACCTGCTCTCTTCATCTCCCCCCCCCTCTTTCTTTTCTTGCCCCCGGTGCACAGGCGTGCAAGCCATTACTCAACCTCCTGGCAGCCACCTTCCCCTCCCTCATGGCCTCCCTCTCCGCCCGCTGCTCCTCCATCGCCTCCATGCCTCGACTCGCCGCTGCCCTTGCATCCGAACCTGTCGCAGAACCTGCTTCCATGCCGCGTGCCACCAACCCTGCGTCCAAACGTACACCTGAGCTTGCCCCCAAACCTGCATCACCACCACAACTAGAGACTGCGAAGGAGCAGAGACAGGCACAGCAGCAGCAAATGGACCAGCAGCAATTTTTGGCACCTACTCATCCAGCTGACTGTGCGGTGGAGGAATCTTCCAGGAAGGTGGATGCGCAGGTGGGGCTGGTGCACGAGTCTCTGCCGCCCAACACGCTGCTGCTCGTCCTGACGGGGTGCGGCGACACGCCAGCTGTCAGACGGTGAGTGGTGTTTGAGCGGGAGACACACCAGCTGTCAAAGATGAGCAATGCTTCAAATGCAAGCAGCTGTGAAGACAGCTGTTGGCTCCCTTAGTCTCCACACATCTGCCTGCGTGTGTTGCCTGGATAGATTAAACTGATTCCTCAAGCACTCTGGTAGATCTCGTGGATTTGTTGCTTGCTTTGACTCGTGAACCTATCTGCGTGCATTGCAAAGCTTCCTTCTCCTCTCGTCTCCCTTCATTCCCACGGCAGCATGATGGAGTGGCGGTGGAAGCGGCAGCAGTGGAGGAGCACGGGCATGGAGCCCTGGGACGAGCACCTCGATGCCCTCTTGATCCGCATGCAGGAGAGAGCCTCTGCTGCCCTGTGCTTGGCGACCGTGAAGCAATGAGTCTGCCTTGGTAAATGGTGACTGTTGAGATGAGAGAACTTCCAAATGAGCAGGGGGATGGAGCCATGAGATGAGCACCTTGCTGCTCACGAGAACCGCATGCAGGATGAGCATGCGTCTGTGTTGTGCCTTGCCAACACAGGGTGACTGACTTCTGAGGACTCAAAAGGAGGATTCATAGTTTTTTCGGGTTTAGGGTTTGGCATGCACGACCATCAGCTGCCAGTGTTAATGAGGTTCCACCCAACAACTTGGCAGGTGCTGTATGGGTGCAGCAGCACCCTAAAGAGGACGCATGATATCGTGAATGTAAAGATAGAGGTCAGTCATGCGCTGGTTGCTGCTTTTCAGGGCCCAAAATATCAGGGTAAAGTACCCTGATTACCCTGGGGGCGGGTCGCTTTTTCAGAGTTACCCTTTCTAAATCAGGCTTCGTAGATTCTTACCCTTACCCAAAAAGTGTTGGTGTTCTTTTCCCCTGATTGGATTTTTAGTTAGCCTGACGGAATCAGGGTTGTGTGACAACTACCCAGTTACCGAAACTATTTTTAACGCGGATCCTTCCCCCACAACTTGCTCGCTCTTACCCTAGCCCAGCCCCCTCTCTGACCCGATTCCCTCGTAGCCCAGCAGCACCCTCCTCAAGTCCCACACCTCACTTTCCGATAACGTAACGCGCTGCTGCGTCACCAAGTTGCAAGCTGCAACATCAGACGTCGAATAAACATTCGTCTGAAATTTCAGACATGCCATGTAATTTCGTCTGAAGAATAAGACCAGCAAATTTTTTCCGTCTGAACGTCAGACGAAATGGATTTCATTTTTTTTTTTTTTCAGACAAGCCAAAATCCTAGCGAGAGCCCTGTGCAGGGCTCACTTTATCAGAAATTTTTGGTCTGAATTTCTGGATTCTGAACACATTTTTACTGGTTCATCTGATGCCGTAGACATGCTGTTTAATTTCGTCTGATTTTTTTAGAGAAGCTTTTTCTATTCATCTGATTTCTCACACAGCCTTATACAGTTCGTCTGAGATTGCAGATATCGAGTATTTTTCGACTGAAGGCAAAACTCTCGAAACAAGCAGACTATGAGATTCGAACTGGAAACCTCAGTTTTCACTGCTCCATATTCTACCGAATGGACCATTAGAGCTGGTCATCGATATTACTTGGTTCTTTTAATCATATTTGAGAGTACATTGCTTGCTAGCTTTATATCTTCTCAGACAAGTATTTAGGATTCGTCTGGAAAGCTAGACAAGGTTACAGTTTTCGTCTGACAATCAGACAAGGAGCCAGGACCCGGTCTTGACATCAGACGGGTCATTTCACTAAAGTTAGCCCTGGCCCTGTGTCTTACCCAAGCCCTCAGAAGTCAGACTTTTTTCTCTGATTTGGCAAAAAAAATATGATTTTCATACCATTTTTTTGTACCAAGGCTGAGAAATCATAACTTTTTTTAGGGAAAACGGGAAAATGCTGTTTGTTTCTAGTGTACAGTGGCATTTTTCTCTGAATTTCAGAGTAAATCTTTGTACCAACTTTGATTTTTCAGACTAGCCCAAAACCAATCTGAGGGCCTGGTCTTACCCACAGGACTGCCAACGCACCCCTGCATCAAGCCAAACCACACCACGCCCACTACCACCCCGAAGAAATTACGTAACAGACAGTAGTATTGGAAACAGGCTATATGTTGAAATACCCTGCTCAAATCAGGCTACCATGCCGAAATCCTTGATTTACCCTGATGCAAACAGGGTATGGAAAATTTTACACAACGGGTCAGGGTAAAGAGGAGCTGCAACCCTGATTTTTCAGGGTGGGCCTAAACCAATTTCGGGCCCTGCTGCTATTGGAGGTGCTACCATTGCAACAATCAGAATCTTAGTACCGTATGCACCAGGCCTCAGGATATATGGGTGATTCAATCTTATGACACTTATTATAAGGCTGGATTTGCTTATGCACCCTTATTTTCAGAGTGTGTTTTTATTGACCCCTATGAGAACAAATGATTGGTTTTGTTACGAATAGCTACGAATGAAGATTACAATACACTCCCGACCGCAGCTAAAGAAGCATGCAGTATCGAGAACGAATGTGAAGAGTCAGAGTTGACTCGAAACGACAGACGGTTGAGATGCATCCGGACCATCGGAGCAGACGACATCGGGCAGCTGCACGCAGGAGGATCTTGGCGGGAACAGTTTCGTAACTGTATGCGCCGGACGGTTGAGAATGAAGTTGAATAAGGGAATGTACCCCTTAGAGTACATGACTAGCTAGGACGATTCAAATTCCCCTGTACTCATATTTATATCGTTGTATTTGCATGTTTTATTATCTCAAGCATTTTACATTCACTCTGCTATCGAGGTCACGGGCCCACCACCACTAGACCATGTCAAACTCATATGCTATAGTCTATCTAGGCTGTAGTGGGGTAGACACTATATGGTACAACACTTCTAGGTTTCCTACTTGTACCCACATGTTTCCTAGTCAATTCATTCCTTGTTCTTTCACACGGTATAGAGCAGGTTTCCTAGTGGGAACGTTTCCTAGGGCCCACCGAAAATCGATTTTTTTTTTCCTGCCCAGAGCGCGCTTCGCCCCTGCCCGAGTCGCGCCCCGTGTGCCTGCCTTCCCGCCGCGTCCCCTGCCCTTAGCGGCCCGTCTCGCTCTCTCACGGCCCCTCGCGGCCCCTTCGCGGCTCCCTCGCGGCCCCTCCACGGCCCCTCGCGGCCCCTCTCATGGCCCTTCGCGGCCCCTTCTAGCCCCTCGCGGCCCCTTCGTGGCCCCTCGTGCCGCCCTTCGCGGCCCCGTCGCCGCCCTTCTCGGCCCCGTCGCCGCCCTTCGCGGCCCCGTCGCCGCCCTTCTCGGCCCCGTCGCCGCCCTTCTCGGCCCCGTCGCCGCCCTTCGCGGCCCCGTCGCCGCCCTTCGCGGCCCCGTCGCCGCCCTTCTCGGCCCCGTCGCCGCCCTTCGCGGCCCCTCACGGCCCTTCGCGGCCCCGTCGCCGCCCTTCTCGGTCCCTGTCGCCGCCCTTCGCGGCCCCTCGCCGCCCTTCGTGGCCCCTCGTGCCGCCCTAAGCGGCCCCGTCACCGCCCTTCGCGGCCCCTCACGGCCCCTTCACGACCCTTCGTGGCCCCTTCGCCGCCCTTAGCGACCCCTTTTCGGCTCCTCCGTGGACAGCAGCAGCCGCCGACAGCAGCAGCCGCCGCCGCCACTGCCGGGGCTGCAGCCGCCGCAGCCGCCCACAGCAGCAGCCGCCGCAGCCGCTGCCGTGACAACCGCCGCCGCCACTGCCGGGGCCGCAACCGCCGCAGCCGCCGACAGCAGCAGCAGCAGCCGCCGCCAGCCGCCACCGCCGCTGCCGGGGCCGCAGCCACCGCCGCCGCCGACAGCGGGAGCCGCCGCCGCAGTCGCGGCCCTGTCCCTGCCGACCCGCCTCGGCCCTGCCCCACCACCTGCGGGTCTCTACCCACCCGCCATGGTAAGAGCACCGCCGAGCCGCGCATGCTGCTACTGCTACTAGCCTGCTGCTGCTGCTGTCATGGCTACCCCTAGCGTTCTCACCTTTGATGCTGAGGGTCGGGCTGTCGACTTTGATGTCTGGGTCGATGATCTGCAGCTTTTCCTGCAATGCGATAGGAAAGACGGTCTCTCACTGTTCGATCTCACGTCTGGCACCTCTCCTGCCCCTACTGCCGATGCTGACAGCACTGTTCGCTCCCAGTGGGCCACACGCGATGCTGCTGCCCGTCTTGCTGTGCGTATTCACTTGCCGTCCACTGAGCGCGCGCACTTTAGTCAGTACAAGAGTGCTAAGACCTTGTACGACGCTGTAGTTGCACGCTACTCTTCCCCTGCCACTGCTGCCCTTAGCCGCCTCATGCTGCCGTACCTGTTCCCTGACCTCGCCGCCTTTTCCACAGTCGCTGACCTCATGACGCACCTCCGCACTAGTGACACCCGCTACCGCGCTGCGCTTCCTGCTGAGTTCTACGCCAAGAACCCCCCCCCCCCATGTACATCACCCTCTACTACATAGTCACCCGGCTCCCTGACTCCCTTCGCTCGGTCAGGGAGCACTTCCTCTCTGTTTGCCCCACCACACTCACCGTTGACCTCCTCGAGGAGCGCCTCCTGGCAGCTGAGAAGAGTATAGTCGCTGTAGGAGCCTCTCGTGGTGACCCTCGTTCCCCCTTCTTTGAGGGGTGCTCCCCCTCCCCCCTTTTGCCCTCTGTTGCCTCTGCTGCTGCCATCGACTTCGTTGGCACCGAGTCGGTCGGCGCTGCGTCTGCCCCTAGCGGGAGACGCCGCACCGGTAAGGGCAAGGGGGGCAAGGGCGCTGGAGGAGCTGGCGGGAGCGGTGGAGGTGGTGGTGGAGGCGGAGGAGGGAGTGGGGGTGGCGGTGGGAGTGGTGGCGGGGGTGGGGGCTTCGGTGGCGGCGGTGGAGGCGGAGGCGGCGGTGGCGGTGGCGGTGGGAGCGGAGGAGGAGGCGGTGGCAGCGTTGGCGGAGGGGGCGGCGGCGGCGGTGGAGCTGGTCGGTCTGGCTCTGCGCAGCGGGGCGGCTTCGGTGGTGGTCAGCGCCAGCAGCAGCAGCGCACTCGTGAGACCCCGCCCCCCCCCAGCTGCTTCATGAGTGGTACGCTGCGCGTCAGCGGGGTGGGGGTGCTGGTCCTTGTGCCTACGTCCTACGGACCGGCGAGCGCACTGGTGAGCTGTGCGGTGGCCCGCACACCACCCAGCGCTGCTTCGGCCGCCTGACGGACGCTTGGCGTCTCCAGTTCCCTGACGCCACTGAGCTCCCCCGCTGGGGCGAGCTGTTTAGGTCGGGGGTTGCTATCTTTGATCTGGATTTTGATGCTATTCTTGCTGCCATGTATGTTGTGTCTACTAGTGATGAGGGTGACTATTATCTGTGTGTTCCGCCTGACCCGGGCATTGAGGCTACTGCTCTAGGTGCTGGTGAGGCTACTGCTCTAGGTGCTA